CGTGATGCGGAGAAGGCCTTCTGCGGCACAGGGACCTTCTTCGGTCGCGAAGACGACGCGGCCGCTTGCGAGTTCATCGTCGGACAAAACACAAACATCACCTTTGGTTGGGAGCAGCGCGTCTACTACACCGGGCTTTGGCACGGGCTAGCTCAGCTTCAGCCAGACTTGCTGCTGCTGCACGCGGGCTCGGACGACATCTTCGACGCGGATCGACGAGACGGCTGGCACTTCAGGCAGCGCGAGGGGGCGTTGCTCGCGCACGCGCTGGCCAACTTGTCACGCGGCATCGTGTACTGGAGGACGAGCCCACGCGTGTGCAACTCGACGCTTGGCCAGACTGCTAGCGTGCTCAACGCAGCGCTCCAGTCCTCCAATCTGCTCCTCCTCTCGCAGCTCTGCGGCCAAGAGACGATCAAGGTCCGCAACCATCGCCCCCCCTTGCCCCCCCCCCCACCCTTGAGAAGTTCACCTTTCCTTACCTTGCCAAGGTCCGCGTGGCGGTTTCCTTCTCTTGGACGTTTGGCTGATGCGACGAGTATGACGACAGCATGCACCACGCACTGCTCGCACACGATCACGTGCGCTCAGTCCTAAACGACTACTGCGCAGAGACAGCGCCCCGCGTAGCACTAGCAGCCCCAGCACCCGCAGCAGCGCGGCGACGGTTTCTCAAGTAGGCTGATAGCAGGCTGGGGAGAGCAAAATTAAATGAAATAAAACGGTCAAACTCTGAGGCGAGATGGGATTTAGGGACATGTGCCCCCGCCCCCTGCACCATATGCATATCCCGCACTGGACTGAAGGATCGTCGTGGGTCACTGCCAGGCCGCACTAATCCCGCGCCCCGGTTTTTTCGCCAGCCTAGTGCGTTCGGTTGATTGAGGAAACCCCTCGAGAGCTGCTTAGTCGCGTGCGCGTATGCTCGCTGTCGTTGCAGTCTCTGGAGCCTGCGCCGCGGCTCCCGAGCGGCGCGTGACCCGTGCCAGTTTTGGTAAGGTTTTGCGCACCCTCTCAACTGACTCCCTGAGGCAGGGTGGCGCGGGTGCGGGGTGGCTCGGCAGCTCGGCGGGAGGCCTCCGACCCGGCTACCTTGTGCTGTTGAAGTTGCTGCAGGAGACGCCGATGACGATGGCGCTGTCCTCGCGGCTGGCCAGCGTCCGGGCTCGCTGGCGCGCCGTCCGGGATAGCACTGACAGTCTGCCGGCGCAGCGGGCGCATTCGAATGCGCCCGCCGCGCCGGCAGACTGTTGGACGGCCACAGTCGCGAAAGTGGGGTGAAATCCGTGCGGCGGAGTGGCAGCGGTGGCCAGGCGGCCCCTCTCGGGGCCGCGTTGCGCAGGCGCGCCGCGCCATGAGCGGCGACCGTGGTGAGAACGCGATGTGCCACTTGCTCTCACTTAGCAGCTAACTATGATAGAACAAGTTTGAAAACCTCAGCGAAAAAACCGGGGGGCGGGATTAGTGCGCTCTTCCTTATTGTTGTTCAGCCGGCCTAACGTTAGCTACTGTTGTTGGGGAGCCCCACTGTTGTTCTGTTGTTACTGTTAACACTAGCAACACTGTTCAGCTCCCAACGTTGAACAGCTCTACGTCTTGGGTCGTCAATCCCCGCCTAACGACAACATGCGGCGTATACCGGCGACGGTGTACATCAGTCGCCTTATGCCACCGTTGCATACCCGGATATGCAACGGTGGCATAAGGATAAGCAACGGTGGCATAAGGCGACTGATACACCGTCGCACAACTATTGGGTCGCGAGTTTCGAATTGCCCGCAGTTCCCAGTTCGACTTCTCGGCGCAATCGGCGCAAACACCCCCCCAGTGCCAGACGGGGGCCGGTTGTCGAGTGCGGGTCAGGAGGCCCTAAAACGGCGGGAGGGGTAGGGGTGCCGCTGTAGGGGTGTGGAGGGGTCGGGAGGGCGGGAGTGTGGACCGTGACCTAAAGCCCTCCACCGATAGAGGTGTCAGGCGGCAGGGCCCAGGAGGGGTGGGGGCTTGGAGGGCTGGCCAAAAGCGAGGCGTGGGAGGGGTCCAGTGGGCTAGAGAGGGCTGGAGGGGTCGGAGGTGGGTCGGAGGGGGCTAGAGGGGCCGGAGGGGCTGTGCGGATGGAGGGGTCTGGAGGGCTCGGGGGGCTTGGAGGGCTCGGAGGGTGTCGTCCGGCAAGAGGGTCACTAGCGCGAGGGGTGGGGCTCGGGAGGGGTGGAGAGCTCGGAGGGCTCGGAGGGCTCGGAGGGCTCGGAGGGCAGAGAGGCACGAGGGTGGCGCTGGAGGGCTCGGGAGGGCTCGGGAGGGCTCATGAGGGATGGAGTGCCCGGAGGGCTCGGAGGGGCGAGCCACCGAGCCGGGCTCGGGGGGCTCGGAGGGGTCGGAGGGGTCGGAGGGGTCGGAGGGCTCGGGGGGCTCGGAGGGCTCGCGGAGGGGTGTGGAGGGGTCGGAGGGGTCGGAGGGGTCGGAGGGGTCGGAGGGGTCGGAGGGGTCGGAGGGGTCGGAGGGGTGTGGAGGGGTGTGGAGGGCTCGGAGGGCTCGGTTAAAGATACCCTGCAGGCATACGGAAGTGGTGCAATACACATCATAAGGCGTTTCCGTGGTCTGTGCGCGGACGGCCCGGGGAGCCTGCGGCGCTATTTTAACCTGCCCCGACAGAGTCTCTCGATACGGCGCGCGGCGGCGCCGCACCCAGCAAGCTGGGGCCGCTCCTTACGGACTCGTCGCTGCGCTCCTCAAGGCAAACACGAAGCGCGTTTGGTATTCGAAATACCTGGGGTTTCTCCGCCGCTAAAACGGAAGAGCGCCACAGCCTCCAACACACACTCATATGGAGCTCCTCGCTCGCCCGCCTGGCGGCGGCAGCGGCCATGGCGACGCTGACGGCGGCGGCACTCGTGGCGGTGACACTCGTGGCCGCGGCGGCGCCTGGGCAGCAGAGAGAGCTGTCGCTGCAGTGCTGGCGGCAGCTGGCGGCGGCGGCTGGCGGCGGCGGCTGGCGGCGACATTGCTGGCGGCAGCATGCGGGGGCGGCGCTGCTGTGGCGGCGAGGCGGCGGCGTTGCAGCGCCCTGCCGCAGCAGGCCCGCCCGGATAGCACTGGCAGTCTGCCGGCGCGGCCGGCGCATTCGAATGCGCCCGCCGCGCCGGCAGACTGTTGGATGGCCACCGCCGCGAACGTGGGTGAAGTCGTGCGGCGCAGAGACCAGCTCATTCGCCGTCGCCGGTCCCTCGATCACGGGCGCCGTCGCCGGTTGACCCGCGTCCATGGGCGGATTCAGCAGGCCTGCAGCCCTCCAGCCCTCTAAACCCCTCCGACCCCTCTAACCCTCTCGTGGCGGGCACTCTCGGAAGCTCCGCGCCATTCTTTTTTTGCGAACCCTCCCGGAGGCCCTTCCGACCCCTCTCGAGCCCTCCCGCCACGAAGATCCTCTCTTTGTCCGACCGTCCCTCCGAGCCCACCCGGCGCCCGAGCCCTCTTGCCTATCACCCGAGCTCGGGGGAGCGGCGAGCCCTCCTGGACCCCACCACCCCTCCCGCCTCGCCCAGCCCTCCTGACCCCTCTCCCCGGTGGACCGCTCCACCCTCCCAGCGCGCTAGCCCTATGGGACCCTGTGGAGCCCTCCCGACGCCGATCCGACGGGAACCCCTCCAGCCCTGTGGGCTGGCGAGCCCTCCGGTCGGAGGGGTGGAAGTGGGAGGG